GGTTAAGATGGTAAAATCCCGTCTCTACTAAAAATACCAAAAATTAGCCTGTCTCTACTAAAAATACAAAAAATTAGCCAGGCGTGGTGGCAGACGCCTGTGGTTCCAGCTACTCGGGAGGCTGAGGCAGTAGAAAGGCATGAACTTGGGAGGCAGAGCTTGCAGTGAGGCGAGATTGTACCACTGCACTCCAGTGTGGGCGACAGAGCGAGACTCGTCTCAAAAATATATATATATATATTTTTCCCCCATCACGTTACACTTAATTTTCCTTTTTGTCCAACTAGAAAGCTCTTATTTCTTCTTACCTGGTGAGCATCCAGTGCACTTTATGGATGTTGTAAATATGTCCTTGGTTTTATCTGATACTTGGTTTCAGATCTCTTGTTGGTTCCCTGCTCTTTTCCAATTCTCAAAATTGATATTTCTTTTTCAGAAATAAAGTTGCCTTATGATCTTTGGGAAGGCTTGTATTTATTTCTTATCTATGCTTACTAAGCCTTACTTTTTTCTCTCTCTCTTGCACTGATCAGAATAAATCCCCCTCTCTATTTTGCCAAAGTCATCTTCCAACCCTAAGGCACACTCCTCTTTTTTTTTTTTTTTTTTTGACAATAAGGGGAAAGCAGCTAATAAACACAGACTAACTCATTCAGTTTAGTTTCCCTCTCCCTATACTTGATAAATACTCGATTTGCAATAAAGCCTGTCTATATCCTTAAGGTATACTTTAGTCTTTATTCGGGGGTTAAAACTTTTATTCATTGAATGTTTAAAAACATGGTTTGAACAAAGCATGCTGAACATACTTTATGCTGAATCCTATGGAATCCTACTCACACAAGCGGCTCGTGATGTTTTGGAGACGTGCAGAAGGTTGATATTTTGAGCAAGGCAGTGCAGGATGCTCTCTTGGAGGATGAGAGATACAGAAAATAAAATTAGGTTTTAATTAGAAAGCCATTTTAGAGGTTTCTGGATAATAGGACAAGATGCTTTGGGGATGGCAGTGAGGATATACTGGAAGAGGATGGTATTGGAGAAAGGGTTGTCCAGAAGGAAGAAGATGGTCCAGATGAGAGAAGCTGACCACCATCCAAACAGAACCATAGCAGCAGGACTACAGAAGAACATGAGCTACATAAAGTCAATGTCATGCTCAGTCAACTTTCTGAACAAGAAGTGTCAAAGACAGTAAGAAGCTGAAGATTGCTCAGTGTCCACACTCAGAATACCTGTGTGGTTATTACAGAGTAATGATCAATTTTTGCTCTGGTAGGGACATAGTAAATGGAAGACAAGTGGCTAAAACTTTGTAATATTCAGGGTCAATTGATACTTGTACATTCATTTCAGACAGTGTGTCAAACATGACTGATTTCCTGGAAAATGTATGTCTCCTAAGGAAAAGAGTTTCTAATTAGCATCTGTTTCACTCAGATCACGTAAATGGTGAAAACCATTCAGGCAATCTGTCACGCGTCCTAAATTATTTGAAAAGCTGTCTACATTAATCAAATAAATTGTGTAGCATTAGCCTTTAGGTTCTCAGACTATTTTTCAGCAAACACACACACACACACACACACACACACACACACATCCCACAATGCTTCTACTTGTTCTTTTAAAAGTCTATTTTTTAAAAAAATTGTGGTATGTCTAATGACTTTTCCCCCTTCAAAACCCTGTGTGTGGGAGAAAAACTGATGGCTTATAATGAATTGTTTCCAATCTGACTCTCTTCGTAGGCAATGTTGTCTAAGCCACAGGTCTAAAAACCACTTATATGCCAGGAATTCCTAAATTCATATCTCTAGCTCTAACCTTTCCTCTGAACTCCAGACTCATATACACACTACCTCTTATATATCTCTGCCAGGAGGTCTGAGAGGCAGTTCAGCCTAACAGGTCCAAAGCAGAGCTCTTCTTTCCCATCAACCTGCGCCTCTTCATTCTTTCCTCTCAGTTGATGTTATCATCCACTTGGTTGTTCAGATAAAAATTTAGGAGTCATCCATGGTTCTTCTCTTTCTCTCATCCTTGACATTGACACCACTGGGTAAGTTGGGTCAATTCTATCTACAAAATACTTTGTGAATCAGTTCACTTTTCTCTATCTCCTTGTTACTACCCTGAACTATCTTCTCTCCTAATATTTAACCCATTGTCCAGAAAGAAGCCAGATTAATTGTTTAAAAAAATAAAAAATCCAAATCATGGCCTGGCACAGTGGCTCACACCTGTAATCCCAGCACTTTGGGACGCCAAGGAGGGCGGATCAGGAGGTCAAGAGATTGAGACCATCCTGGCCAACATGGTAAAAATACAGCAATTAGCTGGGTGTGGTGGCACACGCCTGTAGTCCCAGCTACTCAGGAGGCTGAGGCAGAAGAATTGCTTGAACCTGGGAGGCACAGGTTGCAGTGAGCCAAGGTGGTGCCACTGCACTCCAGCCTGGCGACAGAGTGAGACTCTGTCTCAAAAAAAAAAAAAAAAAAAAAAATATATATATATATATATATATATATATATATAAAATAAATAAATAAATAATCCAAATCAAAGTACGTCCATTTCCCTTATGCTTGGAATAGGAATCTGTGTGATCCTGCAACATCTACCGCTCTAACTATTCTCCTATCCAGCTCTAACTATTCTCCCCTTCTCATATGGTGATACAGCCACACTGGCTTGCCTTATGCTCCTTGAAGAGTCCAGGTTTATTCTTCCTTTATGATTTTCACTTTCATCAGCCAGGACTATCCTCCTTCTTGAGACTCACATGTCTGGATTCTTTTAGTTCTCTAGTTCTTATCTTACATTTCACTTCCTCAGCTAACCCTTTCTTGATTCCTTGTCTCAGTCAGGGTCCACCCAGGAAAATGCAATGACGCTTGAGTGTTTAAAACACAGGAAATACAATGCATAGTATTGGTTATGGACATGGTTGAAGAGCTGAGAAGCCAAACAGGAGATGGTAAAACAACCAAGAGATTAATAAAAGCAGAAAGTCACTATCAATCCTAGTCCAGAGGGACAAAATGTGGAGGTGAGTTTACTGGAGTTCAGGGACCACAGCAGAAGCTGAAACTACATCCAACACGTCTGGTGAGAGCCGGGGAGGATATGCAGCCCTGCTGAAGATGCCGTCTAAGACAGAGAGAGAGGGCAGAAGTACTCTAGCTTTTCCCTTCTACCAGTACTCCATTCTCACATCAGTGGTTCCTTTGATTAAATCCAGCCTTAAATCAGCTAACATTGTAGACAGTGAAATGCCTGCAGGGGTCAGCCCCACCACAGTACAGAGCAGAGCAAGACATGGGACAGAAATTAACTGGAATGGAATCAGGCCAAGGATGGGAATATTACCCAACTTAGTAGCCCATCTTGCTCAAACACATCTTATCCCATCATTCTGTTTACATCACAGCATACATCATCACTGCATAGTTTCTTGTTTGTTTATTTTTTATCTTTGTCTCAAGGTCATGTCCAACACAGCACCTGGCATATTTTATGTGCTCAATAAATAATTGTCAAATGAATACAATGGGGAGAAATTTTTTCTCTATAAAGTCACAGTAGAAAAGATGTATAAAGTATTCCTTTAATAATTTTCCAAGTTTGTGTACATTGTAACTAGAAATACAAGCTGGGTTATTCATGAGATCAATAGTAACGGATTTCTTATGGGGATCTTAGAAGTTAGGTTGGATCATGGGGTTGAGGATGGGGAGAAGTGCCTACTGCTATATTTTTTTTTCTGAAGAGATGACTGTAATACTTTTAAAATAAATACTTGATTCAGTCTTACAATTGTGTTTTTGCTTCCTTAGTCAGCATTTGACTTTAAGAATAACTTTACTGAAACGGGATAACATGTTTTTAAAAAATTGTAGAATGCTTTTGGTCACAAGTAAGCATTTCTAAAATCAAGAAATGCAAGGAAAGATTTAATTTCTAAAAATTTAAATTAAGGATTTAAAATTAATCAAAAAATAATTAAAAATTAAATTTCAGAATTTCTCCTTTTCCGTCAAGCCACCAACTTCCCTTGGTAGTAATAAGTTCATTGAGTTCATGCTGTTTATAACACAGTTAGCATGAAGATCTCAGAGCTGTAGATGCAGTTTAACGTACCATTCTTTTGTTTTTAGTTGAGAAACATGAGATTGAGGAATACCAAGAGGTTTCTCTCAGGATTATAACATCTGAGGACGAAAGGATCCTTAACAAGATAATCAAATCCACTCCCTTTGCCTCCAAGGTATGCATTGAATTATCAGGCTAAAGCAGGATTACATGTAAATCCACATTTGCTGAGAGCTCTTGGGGAAGGAGATTGTAATGACCCCATTTTAATAGCATTTACTGTTCATAAATGTTTCCTGATATTTATGCCACATCCTTCACACTACAATTTAAGCCTATTGAGCTCACTCCTTCCTGACCTCCCATAATATGCTCAATTTTGTGCTGCCTTTTAGTTTTTTCATATACGAAAGTTCTGTCTTTATAACAAGATCATCTATAAGAATTACATGGCTTTACACTGTTTCAGTTCTTCCTGGAGTACAGGTTGAGAGATTTCTCAACTAACTGATGGACACCTTTTATAAATTTAGAAGTTTTGCAAGAACATAGCAACAAAAGTAGTTAAGAATATCAGATTTTATTCCACTTTGAACCTTCAAGTTTGTCAGTTGCATGGGTTGCTAAAAGACTTCTGTAGTTTCCTAATTCTTTGCAACATTTTTTCCCCACATAGTTAGAAAGGTCAAGCCTACATGATAACACAGTACTCTTTCATGCTGGTATTGCCTTTCATACAGATGCATATAAGTAAATATGGATAGAAATAGTCAAATAACTAGTCAAATGACAATAATAAAATCTAAATATTAGAATCTATTTTGAATGGTGACTTTTAATTAGCTAGTTAGTGATATACATATGTAATCTACATATTAGTACATAAAGGGATTAAACAATAATCATAATAGGCCAATATTTATTGAGTTATTGGTATGCTCCAAGCACTCTTCTAATTCTTTTTATGTATAAAATCTTAGTTAAGCTTCACAACAGTTTTGGGTTGCTACTATTAATATCTCATTCTAAAGAAAAAGGAAAGCTGATACACAGAAATGTAAATTGTCCAAGAGCATGCAGTTGGCAGGTTGCAACTGATGTTCAAATCTAAGTACCTGTGTCCCTAACCACTAAACTCCAGCTTCTGTGGTGAGAGGAAACGGACTTTAATATTTAATAGGAGGTGTCCAGGAAGTGGCACATGATGGTTCTGGTTTCAGTTCTCACTACAAGAAGAAGTGACTTGCTTGCCACAGCAGACAGAAGACTGCTGTTCTCCCAGAGGAAACGCAGCTGCCAGGGAGAAGGCACATATAGACACAGTAAAGCTATGGTCAGCATTTGAGGGGGCTATTGGAGGGAAGCAGAACTTTATGAAGAACTCAATCTATAAAAGTGATGCTTTGAGCTAGTAGTGGCATGAGAAGTGACCTAGACTTAGAAATAAGGACCCTGAAGCAAGATATGGACATTCCAGCCCAACTAGGCATCATAGTATGCCAATCATCATGCCCACATTAGAAGAGCACCAGACAGGATCAGACCTGTTTCCACAGCTCTTAGCCACACAGATAAAGTGTTATGACTAGTTGCTTAGTTAATAGAACAGACTGATGGTCTCTTGTAGATCATTGTTTATAACTAGAAAAATAAATTGCATACAATTCATATTTGAAAGTGTGGATGGAATCATTATTAGCAAAACTCTTTCATCATCTTCTGAAAGTTCTCAGTCAAAAGAATCCTGCTGTGTTTTGGTAAATACGAGTTTTTGTATAAGAGAGTAGGGTGAACACATACTCTGACTTCAAAGTTCTTTAATGTTTATAAAATTTAGGTGCTACCTGCTGCAAATACACACACACACACACACACACACACATATACAATCATCTGATGCCATATTTCTCAGCTAATACACATGTACATATACAAATACATATATTTGCATATGTAGTCTTCTAATATATTACCCTCTCCTATTCCAGTCTCCTCAATTGATTGTCAAAATCTCCCCATGTTCCTGCCCTATCATACTGAATGAACATTATTTTCCAATTTTATATTACTTTCTGTAGACACAAAATCATGGCATGTCCCTTCTTACCTCCAAGCTTGTTCTTGTTGCTTCGCTGGGAATGACCTTTCCGCTTTTATAGATGTATCCAAGTCCAGTCAATTACTCTTCAAGGCCCAAATCAAGCGGTTTCCTCAGATATTCGCCACCCAACCCTGATTATTCCCATTTCCATCCTCCCTTGGTGCTTCCTGCTCAAGACACTTTGGCAATCAATCACATGCTGCCCTGAACATTGCCATGTTTCATGTGTGCACGTATTGCCTGACAAATCGCTTGTATATTTCTTGGGGCTAGGAACTGACTCTTAAACTTTTTGCCTTTGCACAACTTCTAGGATAATGTCAGACGTATAGCTGACTCTCAATGCGTAACTGTTTGCAACAAAATGACTTGAAAGCACGTAATTGTTTTACTTCAGACTTACTGACGTCAATAACTACATTATTTTTGAAGGACATTTTTTCCCCTTGGGTCCAGAAAGACCTGTAGGGCACACTGTACATCACAGTCCCGGCTTCCTCTAAATCCACTGCATGTTCAGTGACAGCAACTGAGTGTATCCTGTTGTCTCCACATGCTTTTTAATCTGGGTAATTTATACATTTCTACTGTTGGACAAAAAGCCATTTCATTGGAAGGAAAATGTCCTATTATTATAGAGGCACACAATTATTTGAGTTTAAACACATTTTGATGACAGTCTGCCAACGGAATTTTCTCACATGGAGGTGATGCTTATGTCAGTTTCAGTCCTATGTGTCCAGAAATTGCTACAATTCAGCTTTACTGGCATTGGCATTTAGGCAGGCAGCTGTTGAATGGACTAATGAGACATGGTGAATGTAAAATATATAGTTTACTTAATAAGTTAAACTCAATAATCACAAAGCATAATAATCACACAGCATAATAATATGTCTCAGCCTCAATCATTCCAGTGTATCTTAAAAACTGCAATACTTGTGAAGTTACCTAAAACCTCCAACTTAGTGCTTTTCGTCTTGACTACCTCCTGGAATGATGGCTTCAATAATATTAATAGCACTAGCAGTTAGCATTTAGCAAGTACTTCTTATATGCCCATAATTATCTCCATTAATCTTCACAACAATCCTGTGAGAAGGCACTGTATTACTCTCTGTTAGAGATGAGGAAATTGAGGCCTAACGAGATTAAGTGTCTCAGTCAAGGTCAAGAGCACACAGTTAATAATGGTAGAACCTCTGCCTCCTCAAATCAGGCTAGTCTAAACCCTCCCTATACTAAGCATCAGTATCACCTGACAGCCTGTTAGAGAACCTGAGTTTCAAGCCCCACCAGGACCTACTGAACCATAATCTGCATTGCAACAGTTTCCCCAGGTGATTCATACACACATTAAACTTTGAGACGCCCTTCTCTAAACCATCAGGTTATAATGCCGCCTTTCCTGCCCGGTCTGTATTTCCTCTCATTTGTTGTGAACTTACCTCTCCAAACTTCAGGGCAGTGTCACTGTCCAATTTATAATTAAACCTTTGGTAGTTCTTTGGATTTTATCTCTTCTTTCCTCAGCTTTCAGCTTTTTGAGTAAACTTTTAGGGAACCTCTGTTAACACTCAAAAATATATTGTTTCAGTTGCATTTCTATGGTCATTTTCCAGCTCTCTATGGGTTTCTTAAAAAGAAATGATGCTGGCTGGGCGCGGTGGCTCACGCCTGCAATCCCAGCACTTTGTGAGATTGAGGCAGGCAGATCATGAGGTCAAGAGATCGAGACCATCCTGGCCAACACAGTGAAACTCTGTCTCTCCTAAAAATACAAAAATTAGCTGGGCGTGGTGGCATGTGCCTATAGTCCCAGTTACTCAGGAGGCTGAGGCAGGAGAATCACTTGAACCCGGGAGGCAGAGGTTGCAGTGAGCCAAGATCCTGCCACTGCACTGCAGCCTGGCAATAGAGTGAGACTTCGTCTCAAAAAAAAAAAAGAAATGATACGATGCTAAGACTACAGAATGTTCCAGATAGAGTCACAGTCTGTCTTTGCACTTGGAAGGTATGGTGACTCCCAAAACGATTTATCATATGTCCAGCATTGCATTGGCTTCCCCCCCCCCCACCACTTTGATTCAGGAATGCACACTCATCAGTGTCCTTAGGGAGCAATGATTACCTTGGCTAAAATAGGTGCTCACTTGCCATATCTGAACTGAGAAGGAATGACAACAAACGGATTGTTTCCAAGCCCTAGTCATTCACCACCATTCATTTGATATGTCTCAATGAATTCATGAGTCCCCGAATGATCCATGCCTCACATTATTTCCTAACTCAGTGGTAGGACACCATCTGTCCAGTTATGCAAGCCAGAAATTCAAGAGCTGTTCTTGATATCTCTCTGTCCTTCATCCCTCTGTCCTTCTGTTGATGATTTCACGGCCCAGATTTCTCCAAGTCCTCGTCATCTTTCACCCACCCTATTGTAGTAGCTTCCCATATGGTCCACCTATATTTTCATTTTCTCCTTCTTCTGATTATGCTATCTCTTCTTTCTGATTATGCTACCTTTCCCTCTGGCTTACAGTATTCAGAGGTTTCCCTTTGTCCTTAAGATAAAAACAAGACTCTTTAAGTCATCTTGGAGGACTTGTCTCCCCTACCTCAGATCCCAATCCTATCTTGTACTGATGACTCCATTCTCTCTTTGTGGCAATCACCCCCATCCCCAGGCCGTCCTGCCTTTCCTCACGTTGGCTGTGCTTCTCCCTTGCGCCAGAATTCTCCCTTTACTCAATAAGCATCCCTCAGAAGACTGGGCCTGGTGGCTCACTCCTGTAATCCCAGCACATCTGGAGGTGGAGGCAGGCAGATCACTCGAGCTCAGGAGTTTGAGACCAGCCTAGGCAACATGGCGAAACACCATCTCCACAAAAAATACAAAAATTAGCCGGGTTTGGTGGTGCGCGCCTGTAGTCCCATCTACTACCCAGGCTGAGGTGGGAGGATCACCTGAGCCCCAGCAGGTCGAGGCGGCAATGAGCTGTGATAGCACCACTGCACTCCAGCCTAGGCAAGTGAGACCCTGCCTCAAAAAGACAAATAAATAAAGTAAGTGTCCTTCAGAAATCTGCTTCACTTAGGAATCCTCTCTCTGACAACTCTCTGTTAGATCTCCCTATTGTGCACTCTCATCCATTCATTCATATATTTATTCATGCAAATAGCTCGACAAATATCTATTGAGCTACTTTTCTGTGCCGGAGTCTGTGCCAAGGGCTGGAGACAAAACAGTGAACAGGCCGGTCACGGTGGCTCACGCCTGTAATCCCAGCACTTTGGGAGGCCAAGGCGGGCAGTTCACGAGGTCAGGAGATTGAGACCATCCTGGCTAACACAGTGAAACCCTGTCTCTACTGAAAATACAAAAAATTAGCCAGGTGTGGTGGCAGGCGCCTGTAGTCCCAGCTACTCGGGAGGCTGAGGCAGGAGAATGGCCTGAACCCAGGAGGCGGAGCTTGCAGTGAGCTGAGATCGTGCCACTGCGCTGCAGCCTGGGAGACAGAGTAAGACTCTGTCTAAAATAAAAAACAAAACAAAACAAACAAACAAAAAGCGAGCAAAGCATGTGTGGTTCCTGATCTCATCGTCTAAGGTGGAAATCAGAGCACAAGTCTCTCTCATTTCATAGAACTTATTGTAGGCCCAAATTGACACTAATTTTTATGATTATATTTATATTTGTGTCTTATATAAATTTTAAGCTCCATGAAAACAAGGATTTCTTTCTCACTGTTTTGTTTCTGCAAGCTAGCACCATAGCTCTCATTTAATAGACAAAATACGTATGTATTGAGTAGAGGATTTTAGCTATTTAGACCTAAATGCCCACATTAAAATCCATCTGCCACATATAGACTCTGTAGATCTTTTTTTTTTTTTTTTGAGACGGAGTCTCGCTGTGTCTCCCAGGCTGGAGTGCAGTGGCGCGATCTCGGCTCACTGCAAGCTCCGCCTCCCGGGTTCACGCCATTCTCCTGCCTCAGCCTCCCAAGTAGCTGGGACTACAGGCGCCCGCCACCACGCCCAGCTAGTTTTTTGTATTTTTAGTAGATACGGGGTTTCACCATGTTAGCCGGGATAGTCTCGATCTCCTGACCTCGTGATCCACCCGCCTCGGCCTCCCAAAGTACTGGGATTACAGGCTTGAGCCACCGCGCCCGGCCTAGACTCAGTAGATCTTAAAATGTTTATTTTCCTCTTAAACTTGTCATTTTAGGAATCATAGCTCAGTGCCAGTCACAAACATTGGATTTTTAAAATAATTTATTTTAAACTATTTATTTGTTGCTTACTGGTCAATGCTAGCTCATTCATCTCTATAATTTCTCCAGATAATAAATACTACCTGCTTGGAGAAAGAACCCTGAAGTATCTTGGAACACTATTTCCTGCAGAGTTTGGTCCACTTATTCATTATGTTGAGTTTTCTATTGTTAAGCCTCATTCAAAGTTTCTTATTCATATCTAAATATCGCTCTCAGTCCCGAGTGACTAAAGTTCTGAAGCAGATTTTATAGTAGCTTTAAAAAATCTGAATATATTAAACATGCTTGCCTCTCCCTTCCCCCACTTCCTTGAGGAAAATAGCATGCCTCACTTTGTCTTCAAAGGGTTCTAAGGTCAAATACTACTGGGAAACAATGGCTTCAACACAGCAAAACAAGTTTTTTCCTGTGGCACTTTTTCTTACAGCACTTTAACTTGCTATTTGACACAGTGAATCTTCAAGCGTGTGGGGATACTGCATATTCAGAACACCGGCTCTTTTAAGCACATTTGATAGTGGGACTCTCTTCTCCAGGATCACTCCTCAGAAAACTTTGGGAAGGGTTGCTTTTAAATCAGCCTGACTCTAGATGTGGAATAAAATGTCCACAGGTCATTGTTTGGTTATCATTAAAAAATGGACTGTTTTGGTTTTCCCTGAAACTCAGCTGATTCCTGGAAGAATGTGTGTCCCACTCAACTCAAAAAATAATTATTGAACACTTGTTCTGTGAATATCTAATGCTGGGAGCTCTCTTGGCCAAGAGACCACAGTGAAGTCCTTGCTCCTGAGGAGTAGGAAGATAAGAAAATAGTTGACATTGAGTCCCTGTTCTGTTCCAGACCTGCTGCAATGCTGACACACAGCACCCCTAAATGGTAGAAATAATGATTCCTGATGAGAAGACAATGGATGCTCAAGGTCACACAGCAGGTGGGAGAACT